CCTTAGATGACCCTGATAATCCCTAGGGGGACCTGGGGACCCCAGGGAATCCTCATGATATCCTAATAATAAAAAGAGTAATAGTAGTAGTGGGAGTAGTAGTAGTAGTCGTAGTAGTAGTAGTCGTAGTCGTAGTCGTAGCCGTAGTAGTAGTAGTAGTAGTAGTAGTAGCAGTAGTAGTAGTAGTCGTAGCCGTAGTAGTAGTAGTAGTAGTAGCAGTAGTAGTAGTAGTCGAAGTAGTAGTAGTAGTAGTAGTAATAGTAGTAGTAGTCGTCGTAGTAGTAGTCGTCGTTGTAGTAGTAATAGTAATAGTGATAGTACTAGTAATAGTGATAATACTAGTAATAATGATAGTAGTAGTATTAATAGTAATAGTAATCGTAATCGTAATAGTAATAGTACTAGTAATAGTAATAGTAATAGTAATAGTAATAATAATAGTAATAGTAATAGTAATAGTAATAGTAAAAGTAATAGTAATAGTAATAGTAATAGTATTAGTAATAGTAATAGTATTATTAATAGTGATAGTAATAGTAATATTAATAGTAATAGTAGTAGTAAAAATATTACAAGGAATAGTACTAGTAATAGTAATAGTAAAGATAATAGTAATAGTAATAGTAATAATAATAGTAACAGTAATAGTAATAGTAGTAGGAATAACAATAGTAACAGTAACAGCAACAGTAAAGTGATAGTAATAGAATAGTAATGGCAATAATAATAAGAATAGTTTTAGTAATAGTAGTAAGAGTAATAGTAATAGTAATAGTAATAGTGATAGTAATAGTAATAGTAATAATAATAGTGATAGTGGTAGTGATAGTGATAGCAATAGTAATAATAGTAATACAGATAGTAAGAGTAAGAGTCATAGTGATAGTAATAGTAATAGTACTAGTAATACGAATAGTAATCATACTAGATTCATAGTAATAGTGATAGTAATTGAAATAGTAATAGTAATAATAATAACAATAATAGTGATAGTAATAGTAATAGCAATATTAACAGTAAGAGTAATAGTGAAAGTAAAAGTAATAGTAATAGGAATAGGAATAGGAATAGGAATAGGAATAGGAATTGGAATATTAGACCGTACTAGTACTAGTACGAGTACTAGTAATAGTAATAGTAATAGTAAAAGTAATAGTAATAGTAATAGTAATAGGACTAGTACTAGTAACAGTAATAGTAATAGGAATCGGAATAGTAATTGTAATAGTAATACTAATAGTAATAGTAATATTAATAGTAATAGTAATATTAATAGTAGTAGTAATAGTAATAATAATAGTAATAGTGATAGAGATACTAATACTACTATTAATATCAATAGTCATAGCAGTAGTAGTAGTAGTACTACTACTAGTAGTAGTAGTGATAGTAATAGTAATTGCAATAATAGCAGCAGCAGTAGCAGTAGTAGTAGGAAGAGTAGTAGTAGTAGCAGTGGTAGTAGTAGTAATAATCGTAGTCGTAGCAGTCGTAGTAATAGTAGTAGTAGTCAGTAATAGTAGTAGGAGTCGTCGTAGCAGTAGTAGTAGTAGTAGTGGTGGTGGTGTTGGTGGTGATGGTAGTGGTGGCGGTGGTATTAATATCGTTGGTAGGAATAACAGTAGTGGTAGTAGCGGTGGTAATAGTAGTAATAGTAGCAGTAGCAGTAGCAGCATCAGTAGTCGCACTAGCAGTAGCAGTAGTAGCAGTAGTGGCAGTAGTAGCCATAACATTCGTAGCCGTAGAATTAGTAGAAGTAGTAGTATAAGAAGTAATAGTAGTAGTCGTCGTAGCACAACTAGTAGTATGTGTAATAATAGTAATAGTAGTAGTAATAAAAAATAGTAGTAGTAGTAGTAGTAGTAGTAGTAGCAGTAGTAGTAGTAGTAGTAGCAGTAGTAGCAGCAGTAGCAGTAGTAGCAGTAGATAGTAGCACAAGCAGCACAAGTAGTACCAAAAGGAATGGTTGTGGTAGTAATGGCAGTAGTAATAAGGGAATTAGTAGTAGCATTAGTAGCAGTAGTAGTAATCGTCGAGTAGTCGTCGTAATAGTATGAATCGTGGTGGTGGTAATAATACGAATGGTAGTATTAGTAGTAATGATTCGGCACACCGAAGATCGGCACACCCCTCTCGAGGATCGTGGCCCTGGCCTCCACACGGAGCTCCACCGAGGCTTCATTTCGGCACACCCCTCTCGAGGATCGTGGCCCTGGCCCAACAGGGAGCTCCAACGAAACTTCATTTCGGCACACCCCTCTCGAGGATCGTGGCCCTGGCCCCACAAGGAGCTCCACCGAACCCTCATTTCGGCACACCCCTCTCGAGGATCGTAGCCCTGGCACCACAGGGAGCTCCACCGAACCCTCATTTCGGCACACCCCTCTCGAAGATGGTGGCCCTGGCCCCCACGGGGAGCCCCACCGAAGCTTCATTTCGGCACACCCCTTTCTAGGATCGTGGCCCTGGCCCCACAGGGAGCTCCACCGAAGCTTCCTTTCGGAACACCCCTCTCGAGGATTGTGGCCCAGGCACCACAGGGAGCTCCACCGAACCCTCATTTCGGCACAGCCCATTTCGAGGATCGTGGCCCTGGCCCCCACAGGGAGCACCACCGAAGCTTCATTTTGGCACACCTCTCTCGAGGATCATGGCCCTGGCCCCACACGGAGCTCCACCGAGGCTTCATTTCGGCACACCCCTCTCGAGGATCGTGGCCCTGGCCCCCACGGGAAGCTCCACCAAACCCTCATTTCGGCACACCCCTCTGGAGGATCGTGGCCCTGGCCCCCACACGGAGCTCCACCGAGGCTTCATTTCGGCACACCCCTCTCGAGAAGCGCGGCCCTGGCCGCCGCGGGGACCAGCGAGGCGCCTAACGGGCGCGCGGAGGCCGAGGTGGCGGCCGAACGGGCTGCTGCAGGGCTGGGGCGGCGTGCCGTAACGGACGAGGCCGTGAGGCACAGGGCGGGAAGGCCCAGCGGGGGCAGCGGGCGAGAGAGGAGCCGAGGCAGCGAGGCGCCACGGCGGGTTCGGACGCCAGCAACGGAGGCGGCCGGCGGGGGCGGGGCGCCAGAAAAGCTGCCCCACTGTGGCCGAGCAGCGAATCGGCGGGCAGGTGCAGGTCCCGCCGAGGCGCCCAGCGAGCGTGTGCGGGGCGGCGACGGAGAGGTGGCGGCCCCAGACAGTCGACGTCCTGATTTTTTCGGCACGGGGTCCCTGGATGTCCCGCCCCTTTCCCTTTCCCCTGGGGCCGGTGCTTCATCTTGAAGCATGATCTGACGGCCCCGGGACCCCGTAAGGGCCCCAGATGCCCAGAACGATGGAAAACCTCACGTCCTTATTTTTGTCACGACGCGAGCGTGTCCGTGCGGGCAAGGTTTGTATCCATGTCCACTGCGTCTTGGAGTTCTGGGTCCCCCTCCCCAGAAACCAGAGGCGCAGTGGATATGGATACCCATCTGACTCCTGAACGGTAGATTTTTGTCCATATCCACTGCGCCTCGAACTTTTGGCGCCCTATCCCAGGAAGTCCAAAACGCAGGGGATATGGATATGAATATTGTCCGCATAACTGGGGGAGAAGACGGGCCGCCGCCAGGCGGAGGCAGCGCGTCGTCAAGGACAGAGGCCGTAAGGCGGGAGACGGGCGGCCCAGCAGAGACGGCAAACGAGAGGAGCCGAGGCTCAGCGGGGCGCCAAGGCGGAGGCGGTCGCCCGCGAACCGACGCTGGCTGCGGCACTCGGGGGGCTGGCACGACTGAGCCAAGCCGAACCGCGAAATCGGATCGGATAGGAAACGGATCGCATCGACGGCGAACCGTCCCGAATCGAGCCGGCATCGAATCGCCGAGCCCGTCTCCGATTGGTCCCAGCCGATGCCAGTGAACTGAGCCCAAAGAATCGAGTCGGAATCGCGGCCCCAGCCAGCGAATCGAATCGCATCGAATTGGATCGCTGGCTGGGGGGCAAAGGGGGCGCCCGATTCCCAGAGCCCCTCGGGTCAGGAAAAAATCACGACGCGAGGTGGTTCGCTATGTTCGGCCTCTGGGGGCCCTCGCCGGGCCTCGCGACCGTCAAAAAACGGCTCGGGGTGGAGAATCTGTCCTGGGGACTGGGGCGAGACCACTGGGGGTCGACGTCGTGAAAGAATCATGACATCGGGGGCCCGGTATGTCCGCCGAAGGGCCAATGGTGGGCGAAGGGGAGGAAGCCGAGCGCACCGCGCGCGGAGGCCCGCGGCCGACGATTCTGTCCGTGAGGCCGTCTATGGCGATCCATCGGCCAGATGAGACTGCAGCCGCGGGCACACACACACACACACACACACACGCACACACACACGCACACGCACGCACACACACACACACACACACACACACACATCACACACACACACACACACACTCACACCTCACACCTCACACCTCACACACACACACACACACACACACACACCTCACACCTCTCTCACACACACACACACACACATCACACAGGCACACACGCACACACACACACACACACACCTCACACATCACACATCACACATCACACAGCACACAGCACACACCACACATCACACATCACACATCACACACACACGCACACGCACACACATCACACATCACATACACACACACACACACACACACACCTCACACCTCTCACACACACACACACACACACACACACACACACACACACACACACACACACACAACACACACGCACACACGCACACACACACACACACACACCTCACACATCACACATCACACATCACACATCACACAGCACACAGCACACACCACACATCACACATCACACATCACACACACACACACACACATGTCACACCCTACATGGATCTCTCTCTCTCTCTCTCTCTGAGGTAGGTTCTTAAGCTGCTACTGGTGATGTCTCGGACTGTCCCTTTCGGCATTTCCGCTCGCCGCAGTGCACTCCTCCCGAAGCCACGGCAACAATCGCCCAGCGGCCTGACATCGTGAGGAACATCGACGAGAAAACCATGCCTCTGAAGTAATAGTAGGAGTCCTCGGGCCAAGTATGCATCTAAACAGTGGGATGACTACCAGCGTCCTGTTGCTTGACGAATGTAGGATGACCGACTCTCCCCTTGGCAGAGCTCGAATTTGACACCTCTCGATCCACATAGCCTCTCCTAACTCAAGTCTACACAAGAAAGAAATCAAGGTCGGGATTCGCAGAACTCCGAACCTCGCAGAGATCCGTGAATACGCCCCCAGAAGGAGCAGAACCGTCTATCCGCCTGATAAAGACTCCCAGGACCCCCAGGGGGTCGTGAAGGCCCTTTTTGCTTGTACCAGCCTCACGCATCTCAAACAAGGCATCTATGATGGAGCCTCTTGGGAGCAGATCCCCAGCCCGATCATCCCGCGTTGCCCCATCCTGTTGACAGCCTGCCTGTCCCACCTGTGGAGATCGCCTCGAAGCTGCCAGCTCATAGCCTGTGCTGCATGCACCCCTCAGTCTGTCGTGCGATCTGGACACTGCGGCTGTTCACTGCCCTGCTGGAAATCCCATCAAGCGAACCCAAGAACCCTCAATCATGCGCAACAGAGGACGACAAGAACGCCGCCGTTGGAGAAGGCAGACAAACTAGGGAAAGCGGAGACGAATTATGAAACCGCATGTTGGCAAGACAGAATTATGAAACTCGGGGTCGGCGCTTGCGATGAGCATCTGGCTCTCCGACAAGGGCGAGAATCCCCTGAGGTCGTCGCGCCACTGCCAAAGCATCACACACCCACAGTTCTGGCTTGCGCTGAACCTACAAGTCTGGATGGCTGCAACGCCCACGGCAGCCCATCCTTCCTTCTTGGGAAGGGCCGCCACTCGTCAGACCGCCCCAACGAAGCTCTGAACGCCCTGATCACGGGGGCAAGGGGTTAGACCGTCCAGCATGGCCCAGAATGATTCCAAAATGGCCCCAATTAGACAATGATTCCCTGCAAAATGGCGAAGCATGGCTCAAATTGACCCAAGATGGCCTCCAGTGTGGCTCCACGAGGCCCCAAGATGGTTTCAGGGTGGCCTCCGAGCCAAAACCAGAGGCACACCAACAAAAAACAAATGATTTTCGCCTCCTCGGATTGTCGGCCAACGATGGACCTCCGAATCCCCACGATGGTCCAGAGATTGCCAGACGAGGGCCCGAAGAGGGCTGAGAGACTCCACGAGGGCAGTCCCGGCACAGGGCGTGCGTCACTCCCGATTGTCGACTGGGACTGGCCGGCAGCCTCCAGAATAGCCCAAGGAACCCCAAAAGACTGACAAAATGGCCCCATGAGACCTCTGAGGGTCCTGAAGAGCCCGAAAAAGCTCAGAGACGGTTCCGTGAGGCTTCGACAAACTTCCGGCAAGGTCCACGTTTGCCTGTTGGGGGGATTCCTTCGTTGTCCCCATATCGCTGCCGTTCATATTCCTCCACGTCCCTTCTCGCATCATCTCACCTAGGAGCAGTTCCTCGATAGGTCACTGGGAAAACGCGCTTCCATACACAAAAGCATTACAAACAATAAACTACTCACGGCGTGGAGCTCCCCATATTTGCATCTAGTTGCATGGGCCTGTCCGCCGTGAGTCTAGGCGCAAGAGTTTCAGAATATGAACGGTCTCGAATGTTGACAGACTGGAAGCGAATCTAACTGTGAATGAGTTGGAGTGTGAGTGAGTCTCAGTAGTAGGAGTGAGTCTATGCGCATGAGTCTGCGTATGTCTAGGCTCAGGATGGGTGTATTTGCACGTCAGTGGCCTGAGCGTAACTCGGCGTAAGTGGGTCGAAATGGCTACGCGATCCCTCCCTCCATGATGAAGCAATGAATAGGGGTGTTCATGCAAACGCCGTGCGAAACCCTTGCGCTTCGTTGGCTGGCCCAGACGGTCTCACGCACTGGCTGCACCGTGATACAGACAGTCACGCCACGGAGAGGAGAGCCCCGATCTATAGGAACAGACTTTATGTGCACATATATATATGAAAACTGTATATGATACAAGACAAAAACCAATCAACATCTGTTTAGGGCTATGGGGCTATTGGGCTATAGGGTGATGGGGCTGTAGGGCTGTGGGGCTGTAGGGCTACAGGGCTGTGCAACTATAATGCTGTAGGGCTATAGAGCTATAGGTCTATAGGGCTATAGGGCTATAGGGCTATAGGGCCATAGGGCTATAGGGCTGTAGGGCTATAGGGCTATGGGGCTATGGGGCGATGGGGATATGGGACTATAGGGCTATAGGGCCATAAGGGCTCAGAGTCTATAGGGCTATGGGGCTATAGGGCTATAGGGTCCTAGGGGGCTATAGGGATATAGGGCTATGGGGCTATAGGGCTATAGGGATATATATTCTCATACGCACCTCTCCGAGGGAGTAGAGCTCAGAGGCGATTAGTGCGCACGCGTCCGCGATTGTTCTGGGCGTTTCGCTCGGGACATCCTCGAAATTCTGAAAATCGGTGGCACCCATCACGCAGATCGCGACGTCAGGGTCCAAAAACACATGGGAAATTCAACATTTTAACATAAAACCTTCAAAAACACATGGTAATTTCAAAAATTGTGACCCCGATTCTCAGTGAATGGCGGTTTCGCTTGAAAAATCCTTCCAAAATCGAGCCCCAGACCCCGCCTCGGAGCCTCCTGGGGGCCTCCTGGAACCTCCTGGGGCCTCCTGGGCCTTCTGAACCTTCTGGCACCCCAGACCCCGCCTCGGAGCCTCCTGGGGGTGTCCTGAAACCTCCTGGGGCCTCCTGGGGCCTCCTGCGGCCTCCTGGAGCCTCTTGGGGCCTCCTGAAGCCTCCTGGGGTCTCCTGGGGCCTCCTGAGGCCGCCTGGGGCCTCCTGGGGCCTCCTGGGGCTTCAGAACTACATGCACACAGAGACACAAATCACGCCCAACACATCACACGCTAGACAAACATAACACACACACACACACACACACACACACAACACCTACAACACACAAAAAGCACGCACCACACGAAGCATACATCACAACACACACACACACACACACGCACAACACTCACAATCCTGGGGCCTCCTGGAGCCTCTTCTGGTATCCAAGTCGGGCCTCCTAAGGCTTCCTGGGGGCCCTGGTACACACATCGCAAGGTGTGGCAACCCCACTTGCGCTCGAGTGCGACTTCGATGTTGCATTTCACTCCTGCTTCAAACGCCCCTTCAGTTTTTTGTATGAGCCTGGGCACACGCGTGCCACTTGTGTATATATATACACATATATATAGCTATAGGACGATAGGGCTATGGGGCTATAGGGCTATAGGGCTATATGGCTCTAAGGTTATAGGGCTATAGGGATATAGGGATACAGGGCTACAGAGCTATTGGGCTATTAGGCTATAAGGTTATAGGCCTATCGGGCTATGGGGCTATAGGGCTATAGGGCTATAGGCTACAGGGCTACGGGGCTATAGGCCGGGGCACTCGGGCACCCGGGCACCTGGGCACCCGGGCACCCGGGCACCCAGGCAACCAGGCGGGCCGCGGAAATCGGTGGCAAACCTCACCTAACCAATAAATCAGGACCCCTACAGAGGCAAGCTCTGATTGGGGAATATATAAGAAATGAGCCTCAGGAGAGGGGCTATCTATAGAAGCACACGTGAACACACATAGGATTCGTGTCGCAAGGGAAGCACAATATATAGCAACTTACGGAAAACCCATGGGTTGGGTTTGAGGCCACAGGCGAAAGGCAATATGTAGGAATATATGTAAAATAACAAGGATTCGCACCCCAGGGGAAGCACATCTATAGTAGTATAGGTAATTCACATTGGGTTGGAGACACTCCTGCGGTCTCTTGGGGCCTCCTGGGGCTTCCTGGAGCCTCTGAAAACCTCCTGGGGCCTCCTGTAACCTCCTGGAGCATCCTGGGGGTGTCCTGAGGCGTCCTGGGGCCTCCTGGAAACTCTCGGGGCCTCCTGGTGCCTTCCGTGGCCTCCTAGGGCCTCATCGTGCCTCCTTGTGCCTCCGAGAGCCTCCTGGAAACTCCTCGTGCCTCCTGGGGGGATTCGTCCCCAAGAGAGGCCCGATCTTTAGGAATACACGTAAACAACCCAGGAAAGGAGCCACAGGAGAAGGGCAATCTATGAGAACACACGTAAAGCACAAAAGATTCGTGCCCCAGGGAAGGCCCTATTCATAGGAACATCAATAAAACACAGCAATGGGGCCACAGAGGAAGGGCAATTGATAGAGGCATACATAAAACCAAAAAAGGATTCGATCTGAACGCAGACGAATCTGGTCACTGAAGCAAGCAAACCGCTCGAGACAACCTCGCAATCCAGGCCGCCTGGGGTGCGAAAACCAGCGTTTCGCCCGAGAGATCCTCAAAATCTGCTACGAAAGCAAAAAGAATGTTGGGTTGGTAAAGAAGCAAAACGCTCGGGACATTCCCAATCTGGGCGCGAACGGAGAAGTGTAATACTCCCTCGCGGCCCCGCCAGAGACCTCTTCAAAATCTACTCTGAACGCAAGCAAGTCTGGCCATCAAAACAGGCAAATCGCTCGAGACATCCTGGCAATCGGGGCCATCTGGGGTGCGAAAACAAGCGCCTCGCCTGAGAAGTCCCCGAAATCTGGGCGCGAACGGAAGAGTGAGATACCCCTGCCGGCCCCCCTATGGGGTGCTGAAACCACCGCCTCGCCTGAGACATCCTCAGAATCTGCTCTGAAAGTAAAAGATGGTGGACAACCAACCAGGCAATCCGCATTAGACATCCACACAGTCTGAGCGCAAACGGAGAAGTGAGACGTGTCCTGCCGGCCCCCCTTGGGGGGGCTGAAACCAGCGCCTCGCCTGAGACATACTCAAAAACTGCTCCTCCGTCGTCATCATCATCATCATCATCATCATCATCATCATCATCATCATCATCATCCTCATCATCATCATCATCATCATCATCATCATCATCATCATCATCATCATCATCATCATCATCATCATCATCAT